TTCCTAGTGACTCTTCTTGCCTTCTCCTCCCCTGAATGAACAGCACTCGAGATTTGTATGGGTTTTTTTTTCCTTACCATTCCAACGTAATCATCTTGTTATCTTTGGTGTTGTTCAACCACTATCTGTGCTCTCTCGGGCAGGTTGGATGACTTGCCCAGGCGGTCACTGTTACCGGGACTGATTTGGAAAAAGGAGCCAAGTGCCACCTGCCAGTGACTGTGGTACGTGAGAGGTGAGCACCTCGTGCCCGCTGCTCATCGCAGGGCTGAAACCTTCTGACGTCCTCAGGTAATCTGGGCCTCCGTATGTCTTAGATGCATGTGGAGGCTTTTGTTGTCTGGCCATTTACAGTGCCCTCTGGAATGTGCAGCTTTATGAACAGGTTTTTCAATGAGTCTATCACTGTGATCAGACAGGTGAAACCTATGATTTTTTACTCTGTTTTGATGGATGATTTAAGAGTCGCTCTTGTTCACTTACCCTCATCTTGGCCTAACAAATGTGTAAATGAATGAGTAATTCATCCACATGTGTTTCCATGAAGTGCAATGAGTGTAGAGGCATTACTGACTCTCAATTCCCTGCATGGATTTAACCAGGTTGTGGGAGGTCTGTGCTAGAGACTCTAGTTGAGGCGACAGTGTGAATGCAGCTGTATCGCTTTCAGAGCTCATCTGGATCCAATGGCATCACAGCTTCTTTTGTAATACAACACTAACAAGTCCTACCAGACCTTTTCTGGCTCTGTGTTGGATCACCTCAGGTTTCTCTGTACTACGCTGCTGGAACAGGAATACTAGAGAAGGTGCTTTAGTGGTGAGGGGCAGAGTGGTTCTGGGTAGCATCTGCTGCATCCAACATTGTTATCCATGTTTGTCAGGAGGAATGTGGTATTTTTAATATTATTGTGTGTATTCTGTTGCAACACCTGCAGTCACTGAAAAATCAATGGGCTATATTGATATAAAAATACCAGTATAGGAATATACCAATATTTTCCCTGAAAGACTAACCATCTTTTACATTCCTCAAAACACTGATTTTGAAGATGACCATTATGAATCATATTCTAAAGTAGCAATAGGGTTATTTGTGGAGGTAAAAATTCCACAGCTGGATTACTGAGATTCCTTTATTCCCCTATTCTTTCATGTGTGAGCAGGGAAAATACAGAGAAGGAAATAGTTATGAATCAGCTTGATTGCAATTCAGTAAGAATTTTGAAAACTGAGTCCAACAGAACAGGGGAAGAAGCATGCTGTATGATGGGGTTTTGAAATGTCCATGTTACCTACCTAAATACACCTGCCTATCTATTTGCTTATGATGACTTTATGTGTTTTTAATTCTCAAGATGCAAGACATCAAAAAGTTTAAGAGGAGCTATTCAGCTATGCGATATTCCAGACCATGACTGCCAGCCCTGTTAATTGTTAGCTTCTGCAAATGCATGTTAGAGTCATGGCTTGGCTTTGTTACTCTAGAATACAATGCAGCAGAATGCAGAACAACCGCAAAGGAAGATAAACTCCCTGTCACCAAGGGTTTGTCATTTTAAGGTATTGCAGTCCCCTACCAGACATAGTGCTGTAGTTCCCTCTTCTCTGAAGTTCTCCTGTTACGATTCCTTGTTTTCATTCTAATGTGTTTCTTGACTCTTCCTATGGAGCATGAGCCCTGCGCTGCTTTCATGGACTGCTGTAGCATTTATTTGAATGAAAAATGCAGCACGTTTTATCAGCTTACGGATTGTGGTAGTGATTTTCACAGCTAGATGGCAACAAAAGAATTCCATTAGACTTCCTTCAGTAAAAAGTGAGAAATGTAACGTGGTGAGAACATTAAAAGCAGCTGCCTGACTCTAATGTCAGTGATGGTCTCCTTCAATTTAAGTATTTGCAATAGCCATAATTAAACACTTAGTAACTGGCATTGAGCTAAAATAGAAAACATTGCATAGTCTTACTGCTGTGCACATTTTAATTCAGATTTATATCCTCCTTGGCTTTGTGCCTAGAATAAGTCTTATGATTTAAAGGCTGATTTATGCAGTATAGAAGTTGTCATAGAGGGCAAATTATCTTCTAGGTGAGTAACAGAATTTTAACTTTTTCTGGAAGCAGCCGCCTAAAGAGATCAAACAATGTTGTGTTCTCCTTCCACTGTTTAAAGACTGAAGAGATTAATATCTGTGAATAAAGGGATGGCCTGTGTGGGTCACTGAATCTAGACTCTGGCTCCTGGAAGCAATCACGTAATCTAAAACTTCTAAACAGTTTTTCCCTCATCCTCTAAAACCAGTCTTGAAACTGGTGATCTTCTTACACACAGTTACTGTCATGTAAGAAGACACACTAGCAACTTGGGCTGACCACGCCTTCAGAAGAGATGCATATGTAAACAAATGTTGCTTGGGTTTTAGCCTCATTTTTGTTCTTTTGAAGATGAGTATAGCAAAACATGGCATAGTACATAACAATAACAGAAACACAGATGTCAGCATTCTTACCCAGATATTTGCCATTCTCTGATGGTAAGCTCGATGGTAAGGTTTCAGTTTCTTAAAGGTTTTGCTTCTAACAGAAAAAATATATCATTATAGCATACAAATAAAATTCTGTTGCAACAGAATTAACACATTGTTATTCTCTTGTGCTGCTATTGTGCCTGTATGGCCTGATTTTTTCTAATCACACTCTAAAGGTGAAAGAAAGATTACAATTCAACCTTGTAGTAAATAGGCACACTGGGAGATTTCCAGCAGGCGTGAATTTGTTCCAAATGTATTTTATTTTACGTCAGAGCGCAACATACAAACTGTGGCTTCCAGTTCTTGCTGCCTCAGGCAAGCTTTTTCTGAGCCGTTTCTCTGGCCGTGAAGCCATGTTGGAGGATCCTGAGCTGTCTTTCCCGACTCTCTTCCAGTTCTTTCCAAAGGTTGCATTGAAAAGAATCCTGCAGATAAGACACACAGGTGATGAGGCTGCAGATAATACAGTGATTCTCTTGAGAGGATATGCTGAATTTCTATTTGATAATCCACCTGGCTGGCAATGCAGTTTATTTGCTAACACGATTGGGAAAACTTGTCAACATCAGGCTGGCCGTGATGAACAGAAAGGTAACTCGAGTGAGTTGCCCAGTTTAAGATGAATTAAACACAGCTGCAGCACTCCAGAAAATGTTAAGTCGAGATAAAACTACATCTGGATGCCTTGCTCCAATGCTGCTACCACATGTTTTTTCTATGACAACAGTTTATTTATTATGTAAATGAACAGTTGTACAAATCCTATCAGAATCTAGTGGTTTGCTGATTCAAAAGCTGGGTTCACAAGGGAGCATTCCCCAAACAAAAAACAAACAGAAACCTGTTGTTACCTTTTCATCTGATACTTTGCTTAAAATAGAAGAATATTTTTTTTTCATTAATGGTAGTTTTTCCTGTGGTTCTAATGGTAAGTTTTCGTATCTTACAGGGATTTAGAAATAAATGTTACTAGCATAAACGCATTGAACCATAAGGGCTATAACAAATGTGACTGAAGCTACAATCTGGAACTTTAATAGAAGGGGTTAGTGTCACTTTTTTCCTACTTACTGAGGAACCTAAAAGGCAGTAGTACAAACTGAATGCCAGAGAACTACTGCATTATAACTAAGAAAGGAATTTTTTCCTACAATCACACTAACACCATTTTCAGCACTACACAGTTCAACTAAAATAAAGATGCTGCGGAACATTATTTGACCAGAATTGAGCCAGTTCCCTGGAGTAACGTTTGGAGAGCATCATGCAGAGCTGAAAAGTACTGATGGAAGATACATCAAAATAATCTTCTAATTTCTCTTTATTTTAAAAATGTCTCACATTTGTAGTTATATGGCTGCATTTACTGCTTCTATTTTACTCTGGACTCCATTCAGCAAGTGTTCAAAAAAAGTTCAGAAAGCCATCCCAATTTAGGAAATGCTTTTTGTCTATATAAGCACCTACATGTTTTCCTTGCATGAAATGGAGATTCTGAAGGCAGCAAACATTGATATTCTGAAAGATTGCACTATTTTAGTTTTTACACTGTACACACTTGAAAAATACAGTTTTCATCTTCATTGAATTCAGCTTCATCTAACTTTCACACAAAATAGGCCAAGAGTTGTTATTACTTTAATGGACTGGCAGATTTAGTTCTAATTTTACATTGGCTAGTACAGCTTTTAAAAAGCGATCCCGTGGTGACTATTCACTGCAGTGTTCCATATGCTGTGGTGTGTGCACTATCACAGGTGTCTGCACTGGTGTATGGACTGCTGCTGAATGCTTGGCATTCACGAGGCAATGGTAGAGGTGGCGGCAGCAGCAGGAGCAACAGTTCCTCACCGCTTGTCTTTAGACACTTGCCAGAGAAACACAGCCAGTGTGAACCATGCCTACAGGCACACTGGTGTTTCCATCTGATGCTGCGGGACAAGGATGAGGGAAGGTGAGGTAAAAACCACGGTAATGATAACCTCTGACAGGCCTTGGGTGAGAAAGGGGGTCAGCGTCCCAGTTTGGTGTAACGGGACGCGTGTGACTGGAAGCGGAGAAAGACAAGGGTTAGCGACAGTGGGTGAGTGCTGTTTTGCTGGGATGAGAGCGTGCGGTAGTCAGAGCGGGGAGTTAGGTGCTGTAGGGCTAAGCCCGGCTCTGTGGGAGCAGAATGTGTGACAAGAAGGTGAGGTCAAGGCCATGGCTTGGAGTCATGTAGGGCACCATCTGCCTCTGCACCCCTTGCCAGTGCTAGCAGTTGAGCAGCAGCTCTATTGCAGAGCTTTTCCCAGTACATAACTCCCAGACCTTCCTTGATGCGGTCCTGGCTTTCTGGGGGGTAATCTTTAAGAGGCTTGCTTGCTTTTTACGCTCCATTGCTTTTTCTGCAATTCTTTTCTGAAGGTCTAAAATGCCTTCATCTTTCACAGGCTTTTCACTAGACTGGACACTTCTTTTCTTTTCTTCTCGCCTGCAAAATCAAAAAGAAGCAATGAGAAGGTAAAATAATATTAACCCTTTCAAGGGTTTAGGGCTGGACAAGCCACTAAATGACTGACAGACGCTCTCTAATAAATTCTCTCCCTCCCCAAAGGGGAGAATAAAAGAGAATAAGGCAGAGAGACTTAGATATTGGAAAACTAAAACAACTTTAATAATACAATAATGGTACTAATAAGGAAGTAATGCAAATAATGGCATATATACAAAAATATACAAAACCAATAACCAAACCCAGCTATCCCCCTGGCCTGCCTTAGCAATCTCCACTGATGCCGCAGAGCTGGCAGGCTCTGGGGAAGTCCCAGGCTCAGTGGCGGAGGGGAACCAGACACAGGGGCTGGATTCAGGAACTCAGAACTGGGTTTGAGGGTAGAACAACTGAGAGAGTCCTCTTTAGACGCCAGCCATTGAAGAAGAAAAGGAGGGATTAACCTCCGTGATCCCTCAGCTTTATGCAGAATATGACATCTAGGGCATGGAATACTTTGTTGGTCAGGTTTGAGTCACTTGTCCTGTCCGCTCCTCCCCGGAGGTGCAACCTTTTACTTCCTTGCGATTCTTTTACTTTCCATCGCCTGCAGTGTGTTTCACCAGATTTATCAGTGACCTTGGTCCCTATAGGAGCAAGTATAAGCAAGAGCCTTTCTGCATACCAATTCTTGGTAGTAACTATAAACATCAGGCGTTATCACTTCTAGTGGCAGACACTATCTGCAAAAACATGCCATTAACTTTGGCAAGTGCAGCCTCTTAGAAGAGACTGAGCAGAAAAGTAAAATCACTGAACGGAATTGGTTCTGTTTACCTCAGACGAGGACAAAACCACAGAATAAATCCATCTGAGCATCTATTACCTTGATAATAATGAATTTGCTCTTGGTTCTAGGAACCACGTAGATTCAAAACAAGTTTAAATCACGTAGCTTGAATGTGGTATTCACAACTTGCTTCTTGTTGCTTACAGAACAGGCTTACTAAACAGTATAGAATAATTTCTTCCTATGATGACAATAACTGAAGTATTTCAAGCCTGACATGACATTCCTTAGAAAAAGTGTGTGCAAACCCCATGATACTACTGCAGCTTTTTGCTTGTGAGAACTATGGAGTTTTCCTTGTATGATCATTAGTATTCATCTCGATTGCTGTATTCCTTGGCAAGTGAAAGATATTCCTTTCTGTGTAATCTTAATGCCCAGATTCAGAATCTATGGGCTAGTGGTGTATTAATTAAGGTTAATTGGTCTGGATGAGCATAAATTGATAGCACCGTGTGCAGCATACAAGTAAAGCATATGAGAGCGATTTTTGGATAGTCTTTTTTTTTATTGTTCTGTTGCAGCTACTTTTCTGTCCTCTAGATTTTATGTTTTATCTGGTTTTGCTTACTTTCACCCAACTGGCACAGTTTGTTCACAATTTCCTGTAGGTTACAACCTCGTTACACAGTGATTCACTTAACATTCAACTTACTCTTTTATTCAACATTGCCCTTGAATTTGGACCAATATGATCCAGCTGTAGTATTAAGATTATGTCATGAGCAGCTGTGATTCTTTGGCCAAGTTCAGAACTAAAGTAAGCGTCAGATCTACCAGAGAATATACATGATGATATATTTTACACGCAGGTTAGGTCTGATGCCTTCTTTCAGCTGTTTTATAAAAGGTCCTTTTATATTGCAGTGGTACAACATTACAGTTGCTTTTATTGGAAACCAGAGTAAAATTCCAAATGACCAAGAACAGAGTGCATAGGGGCATTTTCCAGCTGTTACTGTAACTGTTACTCTGTCAGTGGCAGGTCTAATTTCACAGACAGGTTGTCCCTTGGAAATGTTTTACAGCAGAACTCTTCCCTTATCTCTTGGGTCTTATACCACAGGGTTTTCAGTGTAAGGCACACTCTTCTCAAGGAGCTGGAGGAAGGAGGAAGTGCCTTCTGATGCTAAACCCATAAATTTGGCTTAAAAAGTGTATTAAGATTGCAGGGAACCAAACACTTCTTTCATTTTAGGGGTCATGTCTATTGGGTGCTTTGTTAGATTAATCTTTACTAATAGGAAACTCTCTGTAATAGCAGGTATTCTTTAGAGCAGCCAGTCCGGACTAGAGTTCCCTAAATCCTCAGGAACTGAATGAAGGGGAGATTTGACCTGTGTCACATTCTGAAATGTGACTGTGAACTCTAAATAAGTGGCCCAGTTTATCTTGGCTTCTCATTTCCAGTTGTTTTCCTGAGACACTTCGTGAACCTCTCTGCTGTTTGTGTTGTGCTATCTGGTTAGGATAACATTTCCTTACCCTCCTTAATACTGTGATATACTCTGCGTCATTGAGATTAATTTTTAACGCTATTCTGTAAATCTAAAAATTATGTACTATCACTTAAGCTAATTGAGAACATGGATTATTTCTATTTGCATTGTAACAAGGCATTGCATTCCAAGGGATATAGGACAATACAACAATAAGGTTTTATGTAAATACTCGATGATTAAATACTGTCAGGGGGACTAGGCAACAAAACCTTTCCTTCCGTGCAAGTCCAGATTGTTGTTAATACAAATGCAGGAAATAGAGCAAGAGGTTTAACATCACGAAGCAGTAGCAATCTGAATTAACAGTGTAAATAGTTCCTTATCCTCAGAGCAAGATTCAGTCGTCTTCTATATCAAATCATGTGCCAGTCATCTACACTATTTCAGAAAAGCTGCCAGTCCCACAGGTTTTCAGATGCCACACCACACCAGAGCAGAAACTCAAAGAAGAATGGAAAAAGATATTTTAAAATGCTGGATTTATGTGATGGTCAGTTAAGAACTTTCAGGACTCAAGATATGACAAGCTCATATGATCTCTGTCACCCCAAATCATGTATTTCCTAAGGAAGTAAAGTAACAGCCAGTCAGAATGGGGTAGTACCTAATTAGAACAATCCTCTCCAGATTCAACAGAAAATTATGTGATAATTTATGAAAAAAATATGGAGAAACCATTTTAATTTTACTTATAAGTTTATTTACCAGCTACTAGTATTAAATGAGCACCTAGAACAAAAACCAATCTTTAAGAGTTGTACTACTTCCTAAAGCGTAATGACAAATCTTTTGTGCAACAGAGAATTTATCAATATTCTTTTGGTCTCAGACAAGAGTCTTCTCTTCCTTTGTGAGTCTGCCATAATTAAAAACTATTTCCCTACCAAAGCCTTTGAAAAAAAATATTTTTGAAGTCCTTATGTATTTTTAATGGTTCAACAAACTCTAGTTTTTGCTTCGTGACCTTGTCAGACAGTACCTTTTAGTGTTAAGGAATGAGTTGAGATTCTTGATGTGCTTATGGGTGGTCTCGTGCAATGACTAAGAATTACACAGCGCAGGACAGAAAAAAATACAAGGTACTAGGAAGTACAGAGAGCCCTAGCCACTGAGACTGATAGAGGAAATGAAAAAAAATGTTTATTGCACTATATGGCAATCCTGCTTTTACAAATACATTTGCGTTTATCACACAAGACTCCGTTTTGTAAGGTGAGCTTACAAATACAGTCCCAGCGGCTTTTGAACTCCAAGACGCCACCTTTGGTATCTCAGCAATAAACATGAGTCTAAGACATTTCTAAAGATGCATGGTTTTAGCCTGATAGAGTATGTCTTCAGAATGTCAGCCTGAACATCTGCTTGCAAAATAAATATGACAAGACAAGGACTAACTTCTCAAACCCACAAAAGGGAAAAGGTGAAAGACAGCTTGCAAGAAAACAATGGCAAATACTCAAAATGCAGTAAAAATGGCATAAGATCACGAGGTGTGCCATGTTTTATACTTTTACACTGGCTTTCCTCCTGTTCAGCTTTATTTGTAAATAGCTTTAACTTAGATTTTAAAGCCTTTGTTAAAGGGGTCTGTCTTCTGCGTATGTGAAGCATCTCTGATGGTTATGGATCCTTTATGACAATGAATAATAAATATGATAATGAATAATAAATTTGAATAATGAACACAGAATTTGATCAGAGAGCCTGTAAGCAAAGAATTTTTTCTTTGATCTACTGCTTTAATATATTTAATTTATAGCTTATTATTATCAGAAAATCTCCTTCCTAAAATATTTTTAACTTCTACAATGAAGCCCGCCTTTTCATATAACGAATGAAGTTCAAGGAAGAAAACTGTAGCCCTAATGTGTTGGTTTAGATGAAAATGAGAAACCACTTTAAGTGGCAAGCCAGAATGATTCTATTAACACCAAATTAGTACTGATTAGCTGCAAAGGAACAGAAGAAAGGCAGAATTTCCTTCTCAATATATAATATTGGCTTTGAACCCTGGGGCAATGCTGTCAACATTAGCCTACGGAGTGTCTTCAGCCGTAAATCATGAAAAAGATTTGTTAAATCTGATGCAAATTATTTCCCAGAATAATAAGGAAATCCTGGCATCTGTACAATCCTTGACAAAAGCCATACTGATTTATAAAAGGGCAGTATTTTGCTCTCTACTTGTTTTTCTCCTCTAGGGGCTAGCGAAATATTAACAAAGTTGCAATGTCTTAAATGTCACATGCTGTTTTATACTGACTTTAAAGCAGCTGCTCTTCCAAGTTCTGCTCTGAACAGGGCAATCTGGTTCACTGTGTCTAGAAGAAGTTGTTCCCTGGCTTGTTTTTCATGAATTATGTGGTCTCTCTTCTCTTCCTCTGCTGCCTTCTGTGCTTCTCTAAGTAGAGCAAGGCGTTCGCGTAGTTCCACTATTGACATTTCACACAGTAAACCGTGGCCACCAGTCTAGAGAACATGAAATAGAGGTTTAAATAACACTGTAAATACCAAGGGGAGAGTGAATGAATAAAAATAGAATATTTTGATTTTGTTCCAAGTCATGCTGAATATATTTCAACTTCAAGAAGTATAGGGGTGTCCTAACCTGTTATTTACAAGATCTTTTTAAGATGCAGAGTTTATCTTGTGTATGTGTAAAGACACAAAGCTCATAAAACAATTAATGAAAAAACATTGAGATATGCAGCAGTTTAGTCATAAATACAACATACTTGCTATCAAAAAAATCTAGTTGACATATCTTTTAGTTTTAATTAGACTTTTGAAGTTTTAAAATATGTAGAACTGCTTTTTTATTTTGTAAAGCCACAACAAACTTTACACTAAAAAAATTTTTTTTTGTATTTATTTTTTCCAAAGTATGGAGTTGATCTATGGAGTCTAGTATTTTTTATCTGAAAAGACTAGGACTAAACAACAAATTGTAGCCAGCAAATTCAGATCTTAATGCCCAGAGTTAAAACTGTCAAACCTCAATGTTTAATGAAGGCTTTTTAATATCTGCTTTGCAATGAGAGTGATAATGATTCTGTGATGTAATGGGAGGTTTTGGCACCTCAGTTTGCAAATGAAGACAGCTCATTTTTAAACAGATTTATGAACACTTGAAGTTTTTTGGCCTTTGCTTTCACATATCCTCTTTCTTTCTCTGTCTACACATATATACATCTGCATATATGGCATAAACTCACACAAATACTGAGCTTCTGTGTAGCTTTCTTTGCAAAATTTAATCCATTTTCACCCCAACCAATATTCTTTTGGCTATCTTAACATAATTTTGGTACCCATCTTTGGTGCGTACCTTGTACCTTGTACCATAGCATATTATAATGGTATGTATGTGTTCAGGAAGTCAAGATGCTAACCTGACTCTTGCTGTGCAGTCACCTAGCATAAAAAGCTAAACACTGGTTTGGATTTAATCACAGAGACCTTGGTCTGCTTAGTTCCATAGAACTAGTGACAGAAAATTAATGACAGAAGTTTGGAATGGATGAAGGGGGGATGTGCAGAACCCAAAAGAACAACTGCTCCTCCAAATTGTATTTCTTGGCCTGAAATTAAGTGGTAATGATAAGCATACATAAGTAAAACTCATTACAGTCCTTTTAATGGTGAGAAATTATTCAGTTTAAAAGCTTTCATTTTTTCAAGGAGTCCTTATTAGCAGAGAAAAAAAAAAAAGCCCTTGTATTGAATACTGAGTGGGTGGTTGACAGAATATAGTTGCCTTTCTGCTTTTGGGATTTTCAAAAAACAAAACATGAAGGGGAGGGAAAAAAAAACCAGGAAAAGAGAAGGATGCTGTGTCATAGATGCTTAGATTGTCACTTTGGCTGCAGGAATTGACCCGGGTCTGATCCCTCTCCTCTGGTCTGGGATGCCATCTAAGCAGTCTAGTCAGGTTCTCATCCTCCAGTGATCACTCCGTAGCTGTTCAGGGCAGTGGGTCCATGAAACAGAGGGAAAGCCAAGAAATATGAAGTAAATTGTAAGGCAGGGGGTGCGGGTGCAATGAACCCTCGGTCCCCATGTGTTGCCTGATCTAATTGAGAGGCATCCCTGTCCATGATAGGGAGGTTGGATTAAATGATCTCTAAGGTCCTTTCCAGCCTAGGCCATTCTATGATTCTATGAATAGAGTACTACGGATAACAGGCTCGGCTCTCTGCTGCTACAACATTGGTGCTTAAGAGGAATTATTATCGAGTTGGTATGGATACGAGCTTGTCAGTGAAGGAATACGTGTCTCAGGGGGCCATCTGTGAGGAGTGCACCCATTCTCAGCTCAATCAAATTTAAAGCTCAATCGAATCTGAGCTGTGGTCAATCAATGCCAACTCAGCCTCCCACTGGCTACCAGCCAACTTCCTGGATGTACCCCTGGGCTGGTGGGCTAGACCCAAACTAGCCAGAAACTTCTATCAGTTTCTCTGAAATCTGCCCGGCAACCGCTGTACGGAGACATCCCAGACTAGGAGGGGATGCACCTGCCACACCATCCCTAGGAACTCCTCCGAGATTCCCAAGAGCCTCCCTGCAGTTTTCGTCCGCATAGCTTCTTTTTCTAAAGCTCTAGAAGTTCAGCCAGTAAGAAGAGATCACCACTGTTTTTTCACCTCACATCTGATTCTTCAATTTTTTTGCAGTGGTTTCTGCTTCCATGCTGCTTATGTGTACCAAACATGGCCTAAATAATTATGAGCAGTAGAAGATTAATAAAAGAGTTCAATATTAAGCAGTCTTTATTTTTGCATCTCTTTGGAAAATATGTGCTACCGTAGGTTAATGAAACAGTACATTTATCTTCTCAGATTTGCATTTAGAGTGAATTTGCTCATAGCAAGTGTTATAATACCTTGCCTCTAATTTAAATTAGTCAAAGACCATCAAGTTGTGTTAACAGGAAGTGAAAGGAAAATGTTTTGCAACAGGGCATATGAAACAGTGTTTGAGCATGGCAATCAAACACCAAAAACGTCTAGGAAAGAGAATTTCCTAGAAGCTTAGAATGGTGGAGGCTGAATATTTTGAGTGTTTGCATTTCAGAAATACGCAGTGAAGACAGTGAAGGGCTTCCTAAAATATGAAAAGTCCTACACTTGTGCAGTAGATGATGCTGGTGTTCAGGCAATTTAAGTACCATTAAAGGAAGACCTGATAGTGTGAAAATTATGAGAATGAATAAGAATTTTATGGACACATACTTAATTTCACTAAGCCCAAAATAGCCTTTTGCAGAAATAAAGAAACAGGGCAAGCTATCAACAGAAGTGTGATAATTCACTCAAGAATACTATTGTAGTAACGAGTGTAAAGGAACTGTGAAGCTGACATATAGATCATAGAATGATTTGTCTTGGAAGGGACCTTTAAAGATCTTCACTAGATCAGTTGCTCACAGTAAAATATTTCTTCCTTATCTTCAATTTAAATCTAACCTCTTTCAGTTTCAAACCATTGCCTCTTCTCTTGTCACTACAGGCCTTGATAAAACGTCTTCCTCTGATATCGAGTATTGCTCTGACCCAGGTGCAGGACCTGGCACTTGGCCTTGCTAAACCTCATGAAGTTCACATGGGCACAATCCTCAAGCCTGTCAAGATCCCTTTTCTCAAGTGCATCAGCTGCACCACCCAGCTTGGTGTCATCCGCAAACTTGTTGAGGGTGCACTTAATCCCACTCTCTGTGTCATTAGGGAAGACAGCACACAGTATTGGTCCCCGTATGGACCCTCGAGGGACACCATTCATTACTGGTTTCCACCTGGACATTGAGCTATTGACTGTAATTTTGGATGTGGCCTTCCAGCAATTCCTTATCTATCTAACAGTCCATCCGTGTCTTTCAGGTCCATCCCCTTGTACTTGTACTATGACCTGTGTGGTCACTTCACGGATTAATAGCCTTACACATAGGATAAGCTTGGATTTTCAGTGAATTTTTCATACAGGGCTTGAAACCTGCTGTGGTTTTCTGCTTTGTCTTTTGAAATAAGCGAGATGGAAGAATGTACTTAAAGCCATATTCTGTATTTAGAAACAAACAGTATTTCAGCAGAAGCTCTATGTGGGGAGTTGGCAGCCAGTGTAAATGAACAAGGTTCGAAAATAAGACAGAACTGACAGTCGGGTCACCTTCATTTTCCTGAATGAGAGCCTGCACCATTTCACAGTTGTGATTGAAAAAATAATGACATTTCCATGTCTGACTGCATCATAGTGTTGTGTCTTTGCAGCCTACATCTTGTGACTGAATCATCTGGGTAACAGAAGTGCAGTGAGACCACGCTAAGGCCTCTCGTTAGGGTTGACACAATATGTAGCTCTTGTCTGCAGCAGTAGAAGACCTATAGACTGGAATACCTTTTGGCACATCCATGCAGACAGTTTACAGTATCTGTGGTATACAACAATTCTTTGTACTGTTCACCTTTTATCCTGCTTTTACCATTGTGGTTCAGTGGAATGGGTGGAGTGAGTCTGGCTTTGAAAAAAGAGGATTGCCTTCTTTGGCTGGAAAAGAAGGGGACAAGTGATGGCAGCAGCCATGAAGGCAACCAAAGAGAGTAAAGAAGGATGGGACATCTAGGGGGCTGATTTTATTCTTGTTCGCTTATTTCACACTTTAAAATGAAATATATTCTAAAATCTGATAAATGAGATGGGAGGTTTATCTGGTGGCTGCAGAGGCAGCCAGTAGCTTTGGAATCAATGAAAGGCTCGGTTCTGTTCAGAGAAGCAGGAGATAAAACCAAAGCAACCTATTGACTGTTCCAAGAGCCCCGTGGAATCAAGACCTGCTCCTTCTGTATGGTTCTGCAGACTAGCCATGGAAGTTTAATTTGTGATCTTCACTTGAATGCTCATGAAAGAAAGGAAAGAAAAAACCAAAAGGATTCTAATTAAAATTGCAGGGTCATATTATATTATACTATGTTATTTTTCTCCTAGTGTGGATAAGAAAAATGGAAAAGTATTTTTAGCTGCTGATTTAGTGGTAAGATAACAGATTCCTTGATGCTGCCTAAGTCTGGAAATTCTGAAAAAGTCGGCATTGCAAAGCCCAATCTCAGGCGTATCAGTTGTTGTGCATCAACAGTGAGTCCAAGAAGTCTGGGATACATTTACTGCACCACACACACAAGTCATTTGCACAGTACAGGTGTAACAGCTCAGCAGGTTTTGGATTCTCTTGACAATCTCTTTCATATACCAGAATGCTGACAGTTTTGAATTAATTTTGTTAATTACGATGTCAAACATCACTGCAGGATGAATAACTCTGCATCAGTGCAAACTTTATGTTCATTCAGTTCTCACCCAGCACTGGCAAACCTGTGAATCTGCCAAGATGGATAGGACGTACTGTAATCACTTGCCAGTCTCTTTTTGAAGGATATTGGAAACCCCAGATCCTATTGGCAAAATTCAAAGAAAGTCCAAGGGGACTAAGGTTTCACTTACTATCAGAATATTCTTCCTGGTAAAATTTTCATTTTATAAACTTTGTGTTCAGATGTAACTGTTGTGGCATGGGGACACTTTGTACTTAATGCTGTGCATCCAGGCTGTGATTTATCTGCATGCAGTACACAATTCCTCTGAATGTGTGAAACATAAATGATACATCTTTATGTAAAACAGTTTTTCCTTTTGAACTGACCTCTGTTAAATCAACAAACTTGTGTCTGATGATTGGTAAAGACTCGACAGCTCGTATTTGTTCAACTAGTTCATATCTTTTCCTAAGCTTCTCCTCCTCTTCTTCTAAAGCTTGCCGAAGAAGTTCTCGATTTTCTTCAGAAACTTCCTGAACTGAAAGATAAGAAGGAAGCTCTGTTAGCTGGTTGCATGTTTTAACAAGCAGTCCATCTGGAGGAAAACTCATATGCATTTTTTGAATAACAATAATAATAATAATACTGATCTAAAGGTACTTGAGGGAACAGTCTGGCATTGGTGGGAGGAATGATTAGGGAAACAAATGAGTATTTGCCACCTCCACTATCTATCACTCTATTCAGCACATAAGCGTACTGTATACATACATAAAGTAGACACTTTGAATTACTTCTTTGTAATTTCTGTTCTAATTAGTGCATACTGTTTCATTATTTAATAAAAGGATATTGTACATAGCAAATATTAATAGATTTTTAGGGCATGCTAGGAGATCGCTTTTCTTTCCTTAGCTACACCCGTCTTCTCTGGACTTTCTTCTCTGGACAAGACAATAATCTTGAGTCATGAATCTTTCACAGTGGTTGCTAGGCAAATCTTCTCTTAATGATATGAATCACAAGAATCTAAGCTTCCTAACTTCATTTGACAAAAAGCAGAGTCATTCACGTATGCTGCTTTTAGATGTAAGGGAAACTAGTTGGAGACATTAGTGCTGTATTTCTCCCTTTTAAACAAAGAATAATTCCCATGACCACTAACTTAGAATTTCTGATCTACCCATCACCAACTTACTCCTGGAATTCATATTCATGCATTCGTTGGAATGTATAGCCTGGATCTTTCCCTCAACTTCCCTTTAAAGAAATTTTCTGTAAAAATTGTAATTGGCCCACTAAAAGAAAGACATTTGGGGACATTTTGCGTGGTATCTCATTTTTCTGTCAATATATAAATACCTATCTGCTGTTTGTATTTCTGGAGCTTTATTTTTGCTTGCTTTGCATTCTTGTGTCCTTCCACAATCTGCCCCACCAGCTCTCTCATTTCTTTCTGTTCCTGTAGCCGTTTCTCTGCATACTGGTGCATCAGCTCTTCTTTCTAAATCCCAAACAAACAGGTGAATAAAACTTCTGATAACTGGTGATCCAAGTACCTCAAATCATTGAAACAGGGCAAGGATGATTGGATTCAAAGTATTACATCATCTGCAAAAGTAGCAAAGAACATTGTCTGGCGACAGCATAGAGACCCAGATTTAAGCTTCCCACCGTATGTTTTATTTATCCACAACATCCCTCTGTAACATTTGCACTGCTGTTTTCCAGGGTTCCCTTCCACACGTTTCTAAAAGCAGACAAAACCCCCCATCTCTGGATCTCGTCGTGAGATATCAGGAAGAGTGCTCGTCTAATACATGGCTGGTTGTGCGCCTATGGGATCTTCCTGGGCCTAAGTTACATCTTTGTAACATACAGAAGTCCACTTTTTGGCTATCATGTCCCTTTCTTTGTCAGAGGAAATCAACAGGAAGCAGGAAACTGGATTCTCCCAGACTAGATTTCTTACTGTGCTTTCTGTTTTAGATGAAAGGTAATAGTTTTAAAAGAAGCAGGAGGGTCAGCATAACAGCTGTTGGCGCATGGGGAATTGGTGCTCGTTATTTCTGGAGGTCTGCATGAAGTGTCCTGCCGGCATCTGGCAGCAAGCAAAGGGAGCTGCCTGGAATTTGACACGTTAGAGCAAGTATGATTTGCACATCCCCAAATCTATGCATTGGGACATCTCTGTTAACAAAATACAAATGCTCTGAAATTGAGGTGGATGTAATTACAATAATTTTGCAATGAGTGTGAGCGATCACACTATACTGCGTTGTACATAGTAGTGTTCACTTTTAAGTTCTTGCTACAGCCTATCTAAACAGGCATGAAGACTCACTGCCAAAAAAGACTGAAAGATTTTATAAGGTGGAAAAGGAACTCATGAAGCAAGTTTGCCTTTTGCAGCATGGCCTTTATGAAAATCTTGTACATTTTTGCTCCCATCTTAAGCTGCTGAGACACTGCTGAGACACCTATGAGAGGTAGCCAAGAGAAGAGTACTGGCAAGTACAGGGTAAGGAAAGAAAAGCCAGTGACAGTGACTATAAAAAATTATAAATCTATAGTATTAGTTATTTCTTGATCACTTTTTTAGTTTATAGGAAAAGCACTGGAAAAATGTAATGTAAGCTTGGGAAAAAAAATGAAAAGTTCTAGCAATGTATTTTGGAAACTGTGATTTGCCAGATCAGAAACTGTGTGAAAATACTTCATAGTATAAATATTCAGATTTCCATATATATACATCCAAAGAGGGTTCTCTGCCTGAATTATCCCCTAAGAAAGATCTAAGTATGTCAGATAATATGAGGTGAATTGAATTATATCCGTTTAAGAAAACAAATTATTTCTTATTTGTGGCTCTCATTTTAACAAGATAATGAAATTAGTCAGTATTGGTGATTTCATTGCAAATGCTGCTTAGTATCTCATTATCTGTTCAAAAAGGGTATGCACAATGACATGAATATAGAGGAGTGTTTTAGCCTTCTGTTTTATTCAAATTACTTTTTAAGTGTTATCAATCAAATCAAACACTTGTACAAAGTAATTTAATGTATAAGCATTGCTATATCTAGAAGTTATAGTACTACTTTTCAATTGCTTGCAGACTCCAGTGAGTAAAAACACTGTATAAAACTTTTACACTTCTTCTAGCGGGTAGCATCTGTAGCATGTTTTACACTGATTGAATGTGAGCAAATTTGAGCAATGCTGTATTACTTCTTCTCTCATTAGATCAGCTTTCTTCTTATTTTCTTGGATTACATTCTGATGGGCTAGAACTGCCTTTTCACGACTCAGTTTCTGTTGAAGCCTCCTACGCTCTATTTCAGCCACATCTTTTCCACGCATCTCTTTTTGCTGTTGCAATAATTCGGATGGGTCTCCAGCCCCTTGTAGCGAATTTTCAATTCTGCAAGAGAGAAGAAAGCGTATTCTGTTCTAGGGATCTGACTCTGCAGCCCTGCCTTGGTTCATAAGCCACTGCCAGTAGTTTGTTATGATATTAGGTGTTTGATCTCTGCAGAGAAAAAAGGCTGTAATTGCAAAGTCATGTGACAGATGCATTTTAATTCCAGTCTGAGAGGTGTTCCTGCTATGGGGAAAGCCTGGGAACGCCAGGCTGGAAGAAAGTGCTTAAGGGCATGGACCTGAAAGTTTTCAGTAAAACAAAGCCCAGAGAGAGGGCAACTTTAGCTACATACAGAGTCTTACAAGGAGCAGGGAGAATCAGGCTGAAGGTATGAACATTTTCTCAGAGGATTACTTTTCTTGGAGGTAGAAAACAAACAACTTCTCTCTTTGCCAATCTTCTTGGCCACTTTAACAACTAAAAACTTTTCTGCTTAATCCCATTTTTGTTTTGTATTTTGTCAATTAAATAATATTGCTGTAATGAGGCAAAGAAGTATTCAGCTATTAAGCAAAGCCATTTCTTATTTTTTGTGCTCAGCTGAGACAGAAAAGCATAGCAAAGCCCTGGGGCAGGCCTATCAAGGTCCTGCAGCAGAGGAGTGAATGAGCCAAAAACTAGGGCAGAGATACAAAAATGCAAAGAATTGCACCTTACTGCTGCTCCCTGATGCATATATGTATCTGTTGTGTGTTAAATTCAGCTGAAGATTAAAACTCATTAATATAAAGTAGTGTTGAGTTATGGGGAAAATCTATACTTTGCTGAGTGGAATAAAATTCTGCAAGACAGAGTGAAGAGTATCAGACATAACACAAAAGAACCTCAGTATACATACATAGCTGATGATGGAACCTGAGCGATGCATAATATCTTACTGCTAAATCAGGATCCGTATACCAAAATTTGCTAGGTCTAAAGACCAAGTCCAAACTGAAGCAGTCACTGTGGGACTTAAAATGATAATTTTTAGTGCTTAGCCTGCTAAGTCAGGTGAATGAGGAGTAATACTAAATCGAGATGACATGATACAAGTTTTATCTTTGTTAAAATTTTTAGTGAAAATGTTCTGTAATTCTAGTTATAGAATACAAACTCCAGTGGCCATTCAGGAGTCACTCTCTCCCTAGTTAATGTCTGCTGAAAACCTCTGCTGCTGAGGAAGAATTCCTCGCCAGAGGAATCCTCAGAGCCTGAAGTGCAACCTCTTATCCATATATGAGAAATGCAGTTTCTTATGTCAGCGAGAATACACGCCATGCTGTCACTCTCAGCTCCTGGCTTGCCTTGTAGAGCAGCACACATATCTTGCTTGTGGAGCAGCACATGTATCTTACTGTATACCAACAGGTTTTTTTATATACATATAAATCAGTTCAGGTAGCGAATCTGGCATTTAGTTGACTGCAAGCCATTGAAGAAAATGGAGATGTATGAAATGATTTCACTTAATATATATGCATCTTTTATAATGGATAAAGAAATAGTTGTATGTTTGAGTCATTATTTATTCTGGAGAATCAGAATAAGTATAACAAATATATAAATATAATAAATATAACAGGTGATCTGTATTGGACTTTTCAAGTGAACACTAGCCAGAGTGCTAAATCAGAACACAATCACACTGTGTAGCATCTACGGTAAAACAATGCTTTTCATTCCAGTCTGCTCTACTCTTTGTCAGCCATGTTTATAGAATAGCTTCCTAATGCCTTACAATAGATCCATTATTTTAGTTCAGATTTAACTGAGTTATTTTTAATTATTCTATATCCAGAGATATGAAAAGTAATCTGAGAAAACTGTGATTATACCTCTCGAGCTCCTGTTCCATTTTCCGCTTATAGAGGGCACCCTCTCTTAAAAGAGCTGCAGCATTTAATTTAATAGGTATATTGTCAATCTGTCAGGAAAGAGAATGTATATACTATAGTTAGTAATGTAAACCGTAAAACAGAGTATAAAAAACATTTCAATGGGTTAAATAAATCGACCTAAGACAGCATAAATTTTGCTTAAAGCATTCATCTTGCATTAATCTGACATTCACAATGAAATTGCATGCTGTTCATAAACCACTCAAGCTGCTTAAGAAATCAGCAAAGTCCCCCAAGTGGATTATAAATTTGTAATCACTCTTGGACCATGTCAAATCCCATAGAACGTGTTCGCTTCCTTTCATTTTTTTTTCAGTGCTCATATACGTAGTGTGCAGGGCTTCCCTCTGCTTTGGACAAAGAAAAGAAACTGCTTGTCTGAAGGACAGTCGGGCAGCCAAAACCACTGAAGGCAAGCGTAAGCAGTGCCTTTCATAGGAAGGTCACAGAAGTGTTTTACAAATCATCACTATTGTAACTTCAAAATGTTTCCAAGACAACCGATTTCCAAGACAATCGGCATCACCGATTGCTGTATCCATTTTCTGGATGGTAGAAGTGAAGTACAGTTCTTGGTGACTTTCAGGCCTCATGGTGTCACTTGGACTAGATCCTGGGGCTGCTTTGCAGTTCTTCAGCATACTGCCTTAGGACTGACTGCCAGACAACCTTTAAATACCGAGGGAGGAAGGGAACAAGCCCTCTGACAGTTAAAAATGTTCCCTGCACAAGTAGGCTATTCAGAAAAAAAAATCTATCACCTTTGCAGAGACACGTGAGAGACCTGATCTGAACCAAGACAAAGCAGTGCTGGGGGGATAAGAACTGGGATCATTCCTATGGAAAACAAAGCTTAGTCATGACACATTTGACCTAAATCCAGACAAGTTCTGTGTTTAGAATCCAAACATGTATTTAAATTCCAATTTAACAGCTTAATGAGTGACTGAGAAACAGATGCACAGAATCACTCAAGCTACATACTGCAAATATTGCATGCACCAATATGTACTGCAGTCTCCGGAAATATATAAGCTAACTGGAAAAGGCACGCTTTATAATTGGTATTAATTAGGTACACTAAGGATAACAAACACGTGCTATCACCTAGAAATTCACTAAGTAGAATGACTGTGTTTTCCACGCAGATGGCACATTTTAATGGACAAAAATTAATTACCTGTCTGTTCCTTTACAAAATGATGATAACTTGAAGAATTTAGGAAAAGAACCCAAACCAATGTATTTTATTTCTTTTGTTTGACTCACTATACTTAATGTTCTTAATACCTAACGATGTCCTTCCTTCTTTTTGGTCTACTTCTCAATTCTTCCCAGCCTTCTGCATTGTATGAACATTCCTGCCACAGCATGTATTTTAAGCACTATACTGTGTATAAAATGCCTACTCAGAGTAGACATCTTCTCTGACATGCAGAATTTTTTGCATTTTTGGCAATTATGTGTTGTAGACAGATTTCTTGTTCTGTATTTACTAACTATGATTTGGATAGAGAAATGAACTAAGAATGATTATGGAAATATCTTCAACTTCAGTTTCCCAGTTTATTAAATAGAAATATTATTCTATGGCAACGAGACAGAAATACCACAGCCCATATAATCTTATACAGGCAGGTGTAACTAAAATAACTGAGTAAGTTCTTCTATGTCATGTGGTATCAAAAAAGTTTTGAATTGTATTCATTTTCTTTCTGTCGTAAGATATCTTCTGTTTTTTTCAAGATGAGAAAATAGAAATAATTGAGAAAATCACACAGCACTGTAATTCCTGTGGAAAAAAAGCTGTATTCATTATTGCCCCTCGATGAACACACAATAGCTCACCCAACCCAATAAATATGTAAAGAGCAAGGCTTGATATCAGCAAGAGGCAGATCGAGACAGAGTGATGAAGCATTTGTGCTGTTTCATTCTTCCAGTGAAAAGGATGAATAGATATTTTGCAACAGAAATGAGAAATAATTGCTGCTGTACATAATAAACGTGTCTGAAATGAAAAAAAATGTATTTAATATACTGTGGGTGTTCTAAAATGAGGAAAGGAAAATATTAGTTGGTTAAAGCATTATATAACTTCAGGAATTTGAGGACAGATTATAATCTTATCTGTGCATCTTGGATAAACCTTCCTCTTAGGATGTCTGCTCACAGAGTTGCACAGGCAGGAAGGCAACAGGAATAGAAAGTATTTCCAAAGGCAGTGTGCCTATCTCAGCTTGAAAGTTATAGCAGCATCTTGAATATCGTCTAACCAACCTTTAGGACAAATGTGTTTAGATGAGATAGATGTTAGGAGCGGCTCAGATCAATGCCATAGGACGCCAGATCTGTATTTTAATTTAGGCAGATGGTTTGACTCTCATTAGTCCACACTAATGGTTTCAGTGTTTTACATTATCAGGGAAGGAGGTGGAATGTACATTGTACGGAACTAAGCCCACATAATCACATGCTTGTTTAGAGTAATTATGTGAATGTTTCCTGTTTTGTTTTTCCCCCCCCTCTTTCGAGTGCAGAAGGAACTGGGATCTTACTGCCTTCCTGGAATTTAAATGCTGCTCGATTGTAAGCAAGCAGACTGAGTAGGTGATACTGTTATTAATGATAACTTCAGTATGTGATAAATGCCAGATATGCCTTAGAAATAGTGGCCAGATGCCCAGTTCCTCAAGCAGGGAATCGGTCTTCCCAAAGGGTATATAAGCTCTACCTAAATATGTAGTTTTAAAGAGTAGGTAAACCTGCTCACAAGATATCTGAGCTCACAATACAAGCACAGCTTCCACATTAAATTATTCTGCGTTTGAACTTGAAACAAATGAAAGGTGACTGAATGATGCAAGACTGAAGATTATCTGTAGTACAGTTATTGCAGAAATAGCAATGAGAGTTTTCATGTGTTATACCACTAAGGCTGCACAGCCCATTCTTTTGTGTTTACAATTCTCTCTCTTCCTTGCAAATCCTAGCAGAGAAGCAATCAGTATAGCGGATTTTATGACCTCAGTATGGGTCTAAAGGAAACAAGACAAACATCCAGACTGATTGTATATTGTGTATCAGTGTCATTAGCTGGAATGATTGCTCAGCATTCTTTAGGATCTCATTTTGAAATGGTGATATACAGACAGAAGATTCTTCTGTCCCTGTTCTGAGTTCTTAAACCCGGGGGTTACAGTTCCTTTTTTTCCCTGTGGACTATTCTCAATCCTTAGCATTTTACATAAAAACTTTTCCCTTTGGAATTGAAAACACTGTTAAGGCAATATGGTTACACTGTGCAACTGCACACAGTTTACCTGCCAGGGCCCTCAGGGAAACAACAGGATTTAACTGGCCTGACCCACCTCACCCAGGACCTCCATTCACACCCTCTGCTCACTGGTCCGGAAGCCCCATTTAAGCTCAGATATGGGTTTCAGTCCTTTCCCATTATGCTGGAGGTAATTCTGCTCCTGGCTGTGTCTCCCGTTCTGTCTCCTGCTGCCGTGGACCTGGGTTGCTGTTGTAGCCTTGTCTCCTGACTGGACTTCCTGGGTGGACCCCAGACTGGACTTGTTATCGTGCTTCATCTATGGGGGGCTTGTTGTCAGCAGAACCTGTCACTACCACCAACCTTGTCATGTTGAGATGCCTGGTTAGTGAGGGCGCTGCCGGTGCTTTCATAACCTTTTCTCCTTGCTGCTCTTCCCTCCTGGAGTAGCCACACTCTCATTGCTCCCTGATCATTTCTTTGAACGTTGTTAATGGTGCATCGACCAAAATATATGAGCCACAGACCCAAGCAAGAGCATGCTCCTGGCCACAGAACTTGGTGTAAAAAGGTGGATTCCCATAGGGTTTGCATCACCGCAGAATTTGCACATGCGTTTTTTTCACTCCAAATTTTTCAGGTACGTCTCACAAAAGTACCTTAAAGGTTACTCACCTTGCTTTGAATCTTTTGAGCCTGAAATGCTGGTTTACTCTTCATCCTGTCATGTGTATTCTTGCAGTTCAAACAAAAATTACGTTATTTCATTTCAGAAACAGATTTTCAAGTACTTGGCAAAAAATATTAGATATTTACCAAAAATAATGCTTGAATATTCATCTAAAGTAACAGGTATGGTCATAGTCCAATAGCTCTCATAGTCATAGAGAACATGTTTTAGAATTGTTATATACATAATATTTCACATCAAATGACCATACAAAGGTAGGTCCAAATATTGACTAAAATATATTGACTAAAATAATGCTAAAAATAGTTTGACTAGAAATGTTACCTATATGTATGAATATATTCAGCTCTTAACTGAAATAGATATTGGGAAGACAAAATAGGGCATCAAAGCACATTTCATGAAATTATTAAATAGTGGTAGAATTCTACTGATGGTTGTTTATTTAATGTTACTTTGTTAGCTATAGATACTGATGTCTGGTACCATAGGGAAGAACCCAGTGAACAGAATATGCAGATGGGATGCTGAAATGAATATATTACATACATAATTTGGTGACATAGCTGTGAACTGGGAATCAACCAAAGCAAGAATTCTCTGTGAATGGGACCATTATTCCCTCAGCTTGGCTGCTCTGTGGCATAAAAGTTAATGGAAAAATAATATGTGGGTTTAGAGAAATATTGCCAATTTGGAGACTTGTTTGAGTAGTATCACAGGAAGGCTTCTTGTCTCAAAATTAGGAGAATAATAAAGCAGCACCAGAACTATTAAAGGGGTTGTGCCATATGCATCCGAAGAGGCAAATAAGAAGTGACAGTACAACTATAAATGATAGCACATAATTCCTAAACCCAAATAAAGAAAAATTGTCAAAGACTTCGAGATATATTTAAATTCTTCAGTAATTTTTCATCTTCATACTGGGGGATTTTTAGGTAATAAAGTAATTTGTAGCATACCTCACCCTTTTCAGACTTCATCATTGCACACTTGAACTGGTTAGCATTTGCTTTCAGGAGCAGTTCCTAAAATTAAAGCAATTAGCTTAAAGGGTATGGTACATTTAATTCCTCTAATAAGAATTTTCTGTTTCAAAAAGCCTTGCAGCCCCAGCCAGTATATTAATTTGTTTCCAACGAGCGAAAGCTTGTCTCAGTATTTATATGAATTCTCATTCCTGGTTAAAGATGTGAAGTAGGCAAGTCTTGATTTTCTACATAGTTCTGCCTGGCTATAGTCTTTGTGTTGGGCATCAGGCCTTCGCTAGTTCTGCCCAAATGAAATGTTACTCATGCAGAATTCCACTTAAAAGCCTCAGAATTTTCTGTGGCACATCAGTACCATAGGTTTCCACATCGCTAAGAAGCACTGGCTTTGGTTTTGAAATAAATGAGAGGATTCTGATCAGGGGATCTGAGGGTCAAGGGCAACAGTCACACCTATAATTCCACCTGTCATTTTAAAGGGGCAAGTACAGGCAGCCACATTCTTAGATTTTGGATATTTCCAATCTCTAATCAAAGCTGTGAAACCCAGACTAGATTGTCTAATGGCTTTCTGGACAGCAGCTGTCCATAACATTAGTGCCTCCGTAACTATCCAGAGTACAGCTTCCAGTGCTCTCACTCCTTACAGATGCTCAGATGTGGGCACTTACAATGACAGCTACAGCTTCTGCAAAAATGCTATGAAACAAAGTGCATTTTTAATGTATATTTCTTTTAGGATCCAACATTTCAGCTTGTTTAGCAAACAGTCTAGGGAACTGACCTTTGTGAATGCTTTGGATGCTTTTTATAACATTCCAGAGGCAGCAAAAACTGCTGCTATTGCAACTATAATTTCTGTGGTGGTTTTCCTTTGTTTCTTGTATTCATGCATTATCTCCACTGAAGAATGTGGCTGGCTGTTAAGTGGTTCTGTAGTTTGTCATTGATTTTTGACAATATAGGCACTGTGATATCTTGCTTTTCCTCGCCAGTTTTTCTAGGAAGCTTGTAAGTACAAATAAGCGCACAGACATGCGCTTTCTCCACAATATGAAAATCATAGAAGGATAAAAAATAATTTTGCATTGTTTTATAAAGAAATAGGTAATGTGCTGGGCCAGCAAAAAGAATGCAAAGTTTATTCCCGTAGAATCTATCACACATTAAAGCATTTACTATAGTTTAGGAACAGAATCCAATGCCCCTTTCACAAGGACATGAGAAGAGCCCAAACAGTGATAAATGGATTTCTTCTGGCTGGGGAAGGCTGGAGTAAGGCATTTTCAGAGTGGGGCTGGGAGAGTGCAGATAAAAAGGAGTCAAATCGCATGCCTTTTATCAAGCTTATACTGTTACTCGATTGGATATGTGATTGCAATGTGGGGAGGAAGAAAGAAAGTGGAAGCTGACATTTAATTAATTCCCGTCCAAGGAGAAGACTACAACAACACGCTTTACGTATGATAGGAGCTAACTCATTGAACATATCAAAGTCTGGATCGAATAACTAGATCTGTTTCTTTGTCTTTCCAGGCATTCCCTTCTCCTGCTCTCTTAACACACAGACCATGTACTCTGCTTCTTTACAAATCATTATGACTTCCCACACTCTCTGCCTGCTGAAGGAAAGAGTATGGAGTCTGCACAAAAAAGAAGGTAGAATCTGCTGGTATTTTAAAACAGTGGGTGATGACACGTTATTTATCAGTTAATACAGAAAACAAGCAAAAACACTGAACATATTTTATATTTTGAAGCCTTAATTATTAAGTGAATACCTTAAATACCCACATGTCCTGTGGGAGTAAAAGAGCCATCAGACTAGTTCTAGCTTGTGAAGGGGAGAACGTAATCATGTTTCCGCTACTTTATGTGTCTACTTGCATAATTTTTCACATAGTACTTGTATAGTGAATAAAGGTGAACCTTGTCTCAGACAGTTAATATAGGATAAAAAATAAGGATATAGGACATATATATATAGGATAAATAAATAATAAGATAAATGAGGAAGATGGGAAAAGAATAACAGAACAGAATAGGGGATACAAACTTTATGACTCTAGAGGAAGAGCCAGGAGCTGTTTATGTGCTAAAGCAAATATCTTTCAGATAAAGTTCTAAGACTTGTAAAAATCATAAAATGGTTTAGCTTGGAAGGGACCTTAAAGGTCACCTAGTTCCAACCCCTCTGCCACAGGCAGGGACACCTCCCACTAGACCAGGTTGCTCAAAGGCCCATCCAAGCTGGCCTTGAACACTGACAGGGAGGGGGCATCTCCAACTCCTCTGGACAGTCTGTTCCAGTGTCTCACCACCGTCATGGTGAAAAATTTCTTCCTTACGTTTAATCTAAATTTACCCTCTTTCAGTTTAAAGCCATTACCCCTTGTCCTACCACTACATGCCCTTGTAAAAATAGAACAATATAGAAAAAATAGCTTAGAAGAAAGGAGAGAACGTAATAACTTACTTCTGCTTTCCGGCGATTTTTTGTTTGGATTTCCTCTAGTTGCTTTTTTTCTTTTGGAGGTTTGTAGGTGCTTGGAGGAACCTATATTAAAAGGCAATAAATCTCACTGATAAGGGGTATAAAACACTTCAAGCGACACTTTCTTGCAGGAAAAAAACCACATTCACTACTGTAGAACAGCTGCAGTTATTTTTAAAATATTGATTCTTTACTATGTGGAGTGCCAGTGTAGATGACATGGACTACCCAGGCTTTTCAGTCCTGTCCAAGGTAAAATAATAATAAGAAAGAAAGAAAAATATGGAACTAGTACAAGAAAGACTAAAAAACATGAATCCTATATATGTTATCGTGGGGAAGAAAATGTTTCCAGAAGGAGAGGAGTTCTGTTTGGCATCTCATAAACTTGAGCTTCACAGCACTGACAGGCAGACAGGGCAGCTGAATGAAGTTAAACTGTGGAACTCTGGCACTGTGTGTGCTAGTGGTGACAGGTTACTGAAAATCCAAAGAAGTTTAAGGAAGATAAACTCTTTGAAGCTTATTAAGTACCCAGGAACTTCATTGGAACTGAGGAGATCATTGAGCTGAAATGATGGGAGACTGAAAGGGCAGCTGGAGAGAGCAGCAGCTTCTTCCTCAACATCTGTGTTTGGCCACTGCTGGAGAAAATACTCTGGGCACAACGAGTCTTTGCTCCGGCTTCCTCTGGCTGTCCTAATGTCCTCGTAAGGGAATGCCATTGGGGGGGTAGATTAAAAGTTTGGAGGCAGAGGACTGAGAGGGCCCTCCTAGCATTAGTCAAAGATTTGGAAAAGCATTCACATGTCAGAAAGTGCTACAGATGAAATGGTCAGGAAAGACTTATCATCTGGCTGTCATGTGAATCAACAGGACGAGAGTAGGGACTGGATCGGTTTGAGTTAGGCTGAAACTTCCGAGGGATTTCAATACTTGCTTGAGCAAGAAATTTTGCCCAGGAGCAAACTCTGAAAAAAGAATGGATGTCTCCTTCCTAAGTGGGTGAGACAGTCTGACAGTTTACCGGACATCTGCTTAAATATTTATCTTGCTAAAAATGTTCGAGCTCAAGTAGAAGTTATGGAATTAATTCAAGAATTAATGGGAAAATTTGTTTTGTATTGGAGGTCAGTTTAGGGAACATGGGAGTCCCACCTAGCTTTATTGGACTATATAAAGAGCTATGCTTTGAGAAACTCGTGAATGCACTTTCCACTGCCTTTGCTATTTGACATCATTATCTACAGGCAAAACAAATGCACAGACAGAAGCAGCTAGCAATTAAATGTGCTGGTGAGATTGCTCAAGTATTTTGTGAAGTATTAAGTGAAGTAGAACTGAAAGTATTTCCCAGCAGTATCTAAGAATTTTTCTTATGCTTTTATGGATGGAGAAGCTAAAGCCCAGAGGATTTGCAAAGGGTTGCACAGGCAGTGAGTATCAGTTTATTTCACTCTTCTTCCTAGTCATGTGCTTTACTTGCAGAACTGTGCTCATCTGCCAGTGTAAGCTGAAATTCTCTCCTCAGAAACTGTTATGCTTATTCTGAGTAATCTGAGGAGGAGACTTTTCAATCAGCACTGTTTCAAAAATTATCTTAATCATTTTTGAAATCTGAGGGCTTGTAATTCAGCCCTCAGATGGCACGGTGATGAGTACCAATCAGACAGACAGATAGACAATACAGCAATTATCCAGTTGCTGGAAGAGGATGAATAAGTCACTATAAGTAAATTGTAAATTCCAGCAATAGAAGGATCAAAAAGGCCAAACTGCTTTCTTAACCCTGATGTGAAAAAAGACGGCTGAGAGTAAGAGACACCAACCTTGCTTTTCCTCTCCAGCCAATGGTCCAGCTCACCTAATCCTTCTTGATATCCTTTTACCAGAGGTTTATTTAGGGAGCAGGAACCACAAGAAGTTTAAGAACAAAATGAGTAATCACTCTGAACTTTAGTAGTCATCACTCTTCTATTTTTTTTTAAGTTTCTGTTGTAAGATGGACAAAGGCAAGGTAATGGAATGCTGTTATGTTAAGAGCTATTTTAATACATTACAAGATCATCAATGTAGTGTTGGGTCTGTATCATTGCAAACCAAATCCTCCATATGGGCCAAATGAATACAGCCATTCTATTACTAAATTTGTCTGAATGGTGTTTCAATAATATCTCAGTGCAGCTTTTGTAAAGTACATCATTGGTTTACAGAAAATCAAAAGATAAATGCTTAATCTTATTACTCTTGTACAGTGGTGATATTAAAACAATGGATTTTATGTGTAACTTAAGGCCAAGATATCCAAGGAAGTTAAATGTGCCCAAATCATTTTGCATGTCATCAGGTTTAAGCACCTGTCCCCGTTTGTTTCATTTGCAAACTTTAAGCGAAAGCACTCATTTCCCTGTGCAGAATTGTATTTATGAATGCATGCATGCATGTGTGCATGCTTGTGTGTGCATCCATGTGCTTGTGTGCAAAGGACAGTGGAGAGAATTTATAAGCTTTAGACCAAATATTTAGAGTGAAATGATTACATGTCAAAATTAAAGTGCTTTTCCTTAGCGTCCCCCATTTCTGATCAATGATGATGAATGATTATTCGAACCATCTAGGCGTACGAAACTTTACAAGGTCAGTGGGGAGTCCTGTCTCAACACAGATCACTCAGAGAGCTCTTCTGCCTTCTGCTGTAACATCTCCTGCCCTCTCCTGTGAGGGGAGTGAGTGTTTGGTGCACAGGACAGCAGTACTATCGCAGCTCCTGAGCTCAAGGGACATGATACATCTACTATAGAACGTAATGCAACCTAGCAGAAGGAAATACCTAAAATAATAATCCTGTTAATAAGAATGAACTCATTTCACCATAGGGATGCCATAACTTCTCAGTGGTAATCGCTCAGAATCCAGACACCTCCGTATGAATTCATGTGGAGGTTTCAAAGTTGAGCAGTAACTACGCTGTAGTTACTGTGACTGCAGTAGCCCCTGCTAATATACCACATGACAAGGTCTTTGACAGATGCATGAGAAGCATGATAAAAAATTGGCTATCTCATAAAACAAACAACTTTGTGAGAAAATGAACAAGAAGATTTCTGCAGCATATTATGGGATGGAATCCGGAAGAGCTTTAATTCTGTGCATTCCTCTCAATTACATAGACTTCTCCACCATACAGTAGCCAAAACTATGGTCTGCTCTGATTTTACTAACTCTTTCCTGCCATCTGGGCTCTCTTTTCAGTCTCCCTTCATTTCAGGATCTAAAATGGTGATACTGGCAACAATATGGCAAATTAAAGTGAGGCTTAACTTGCTGAGCTAGGTACAGAAATGAGCACAACATATGTCACTACTACGCTAATGGTTTTAGATTCACACGAGCTTTTGAATTTGCAGACTTGTCCAGAAGGTAAACCAAATTTAGTACAATCCTAACAGCACAAATGAACGTCAGTAAATGCATCCACATTAAAGCAAATTTATTCTAAGAGGGACTGCACAGCATAAAGGTACTAAAATGACAGCAATATGACTCATTCCTATACTGATTAAGTAGTTATTAAATGCAGTTTTTCAGAGCCTGGTATTAAGCTGTTTCAATGTAAAATCCCATTAACTGTATAACACACTACCATTAAATTGCTCTGCCATCCTAACATGTAAATGGTTTCTAGAGTATTCAACACATGTATTATTTAAAACTTGAAGTGCTAATACAAGGTGGCAGATAATGCCCAAAACTATGACTTCCAAGCTCACTTCCCACTGCATTTAAATATAGATGATTTTGGAGTCGTTATTAAGTTAGTCATAGCAGCTTGATCCCAAATCCTGTCTGCCCCAATGAGCTAACACTTAAAACCAACTGTGTAGCAGTGTAACTAAATCACAATCTTAGACAATGAGTTAAATAAAAGCTTAGCATTTCAAAGATAAATCTCATCTCATTTATATGTAAGCAATAAATTAAAACTGGAAAACCTTAATTTTAGAGATTCGACACCAATATAAACAGAAAGGAATACAATTCCACCCTCAAGGAGGAGCTGCAAACCTAGAATCTGTTTCATCTCCACTGAAATTACTTTGCCACTTTTTTTAATGGGAGTTAATCTACAAAATAATCTCAGTTTATAAAATATTTTCATGTGAATGTTCTTTTTTTTACCTGTTTCAGTGCATTATCCAAAGCAAATATCTTACAAATACAAGGGCCACCAGAAACACTTGTATCAATGCTGTCATCAGTTTGTACCATTGTATATAGTTCTACCTCTAAAAGTCACAAAACAACTCCAGGAACCAACCTTTTCCCTCTCCTTTGTTTGGCTTACAATTTGCTTGCACAGCATTCACTGAAATGAAAATAAATCCTTTGGGTTTTTTTTTAGAAATCTGATCTTCAGTAATACAGAATATTACAAAAATCCTTGCTGATCCTTAAAAGGTTTTAGATATTCAATAATTGTTTTTAAAGTGACTATTAACTCCCCTACCATGATTTTGTGCGCAAGCATAAATAAAGCTTAACATCTCTCAAAGCATAAAGAAACTCACAGGCAGCCTTTTCTTCGGTACTGGTATTGGCAGAGGTGTAGGAATGGCGCGTGGTTTGGGTTCAGTCAGATGAAATTCCTTTGGCTGAGTGACCGTTGAAGTCTTGACAATGGTAGTACGATTATTTAATTTATCCGTGAGCTGTTCAATCAGTCTCTGTACTTTTGGCTGCCATCTTCAAATAAGAACAGATTTTTAAATTTTATTTCATTTTTTTCCTTTCACGTAAACTTACATGCTGTATATGGGGTTGGCGCGGGTGCAAATTCTGTAACGGTTTCGACCATTCAATTTTAATACAGTTGGCCTATGATTTTGTTCAATTGTGCAACTTCACCTCTCAATAGATGAAATCACCACCATTTTTACTGAATAAGCAAGTATCTCACCAGTTCGTTTTGCAGCAGGACCAGACTATGAATCAGAAAAGCAGCTGTAATATGTTAAGTACACACTTAACGTACTTAGATGGAGACTATGAACAGTGGTCAGAGTATTGCCAATTTTGCCAACCGATAGAGCAAACATAAATCAATCTCAAAGCACCGGCAGGTCTAATAAAAAATAGAAGTAAGGAGTTTGGTGAATTAGCAAATGAACCCTCAGTGAACCCTGTGGGGCAGTTGAGATGATTTTGATTTCCTTGTGTTTGGATTTTGGCTTGTATGAAGGTTCAGACTTTTTCCAGAGAATGACAGAAAGGTGCCAAATTATATACGTTTGCTAATTTGGCATGATCTACACAGTATGAAATGATTAATACTACTGACTTGATATGACAGAACTAGATGCAAATGCTTTTTCAGCTGAAGTTGCTTGTAGCATGTTTTTGTCTCACAGTGCTTACTGTTGTCTGGGTTAACCTATACTGCAGTGAGGAGGATGTGTGACTGCAGCATTGGGGTACCAATGCCAGCTCTAATTTATCTGTCCTGGGTAAAATCAAGAGTGAAAAAGTGACACAAGGCAAGGGCACTCATGCTACTGCATCACCTAACCAATGTGTTGACATATCTGGCTGATATGATGCTGCAATTGTGTAAATAGATAATTTTTAAAGGCTTGTTTACATGCTTATCTGATTTGCTCAGAAGGGATTTTACAACCACTGGCATAAACAAATGTGTGCATAAAGCCAAACTCAGGGAAGTCAAACAACTTTTTTTTCAGATGCTTAACGTCATACAGATGTTGAAGTGACTTATAAGGCACGAGTCTAATCTGAACCTTCTTTTTTTTTTTTTTTTCCGAGTATGGTACTTTATCTGTTCGGGGCACTGAGAAGCAAATGTACAACAGCTGTTAAAAGACTTCTCTGTAAGAGGACCTTGCCTCTGGGTAAGTAAAAGAGATTACTACAGTGTCATGAAAACAAAAAGGGTTCTGAGTGACTTCAGTAGGAGAAACATTTTAACAGCAAATCGAATTTTCTGGGGAAGCTTTCCCCACCTTTTAAACTTTGAGGTGGCCACAGGCTACTGAACTATTGCTTACCTTAGCAGTGGATCAATCCAGTTCTCTTTTACATACAGTGAATCATAGAACTGACTCCATTCGTCTTTTATCCATGTGTTCAAATACAAGGCATTGAAGAAAAATCTAAGAAACTAATAATAAGTGGTTTCTTTTAAATATGAATACTGAAGGTATTGATGCATCTTTAATTTGCTTCAAACATTGTGAAACAGAAGATTTTATTCAGAATTACAGTAATTACTACTGCAATACAGTAATTTTAGTATAATTATACAACCTACAGTCAGCTCCTGATTATCTATAGCTAGATGATCCATGGTGCCCAGAAACACGCCAGGTCTAGGACTATATCGGAATTACTTTAGTTCCTTTCAGCATCCTGGAAACTGGGCAGGGAGAACTGCTGAGAACTATTGTAACTGCTATACAATATGGTTACTTCTTTTATTGAAATACAGTTTATTGGCATATTCCCATTAAACTGGAAGACTGAAAATTGGCACATGTATACATTGTAGGCCTGTACATGCTGCAGAAATAGCAACTAACATTTGAACTTTTGTTTACCCCTGGAGTTCACCAGAAGGTCAAGAGCATTTCTTTAAAAGTCAAACTGTTCAAAGGGCCATTCAAAGCAGACGCTGGAAAAATGGCACTCGCATTCAGCGTGTATCATGTACAGCAATATGAATTCCAAACGCGAATCTGAAGTTTTTCATTAAAATTCTTGGAAATGAAAGTACATGCAAGTACCATGCTGAAACAATTCCAGTAATAGAAAAAAGCACACTAAATAATATTGACATTGTGAGACATACTGGAAAACAAGCAGCATCCAGTCACTTGAGAAGCTTCAAATGGCGACTGCGGAGCTTATTAGTTCAGACTTGGCTTCAGCCCCATCTTGGGCTGGTTTCCACAGAGCCATATAGGTCTTTGAGTTGAAATTTTAGTTCTGGAGGACTACCAAAGAGCTTCTTAATTCACATGTGGTGCCAGGCCAAAGGTGGCCGAAAGTCCATAATCTTGGTTTTCATAATCCGTATCACAGATGGCGAATGTCAGAAGAGTAAGATCCAGGAAGCCATAGTACATTTCATTTCTTCACAACAGAAACTGGTTTGTGAACTGAACTGCTAGGAAAAATTCCTTATATTTTTGCTTTGTCTTTGGCCACATGTGACACAGGTGGTAGCCTCCATATCAGTAACCATTGCTTCTATATTAGCAAAACATGTCTTGAAGTTCTCACAGGTTTCTGTTTGGATGTTACCAGAATCCATCTCCTTAGACAAGTCACTGAACAGCCATTCGGTAGCAGTATTATCCTGCTTACTCTCTGCCTTGAATGTTCCAAGAGTTTCACTAGTCACAGAGCATGATAGCCAAGACTCATTTCCCTTGCCTAAGTGAAAATACCTGAACACTGTGACTTTGATTTGAATGGATTCCACCATGTAGTTCTTTATGAGAAAGGTCTACTCACACAAGTCAGTCTCATTCAAGTAAGACTGATCATTTGAATAAGGTTTATATACATGATTAAGAAAATTCTACTCAGCCTGTGATATGCAGAATTTTTTTTTCAGTAAAGTAAATCTATTTAAGTAATTATATGTGAATATTTTTTCTGCATCTCAACTGAGCTCTGACACAATAGTCATCAGGCAAAATCTACAGGTCAGCATCTTGAAGGAGAATCCAAAATTTCTGATAACTTCTGTTGCTAAGGCTGCAGATCTGCCTTCTGCTGGTTTTGTCCCTGTTGCTGGGGGGACCAAATGCTGCTTCTAAATCCTTTGCTGCAGGTGCATTAATATAATCTAGCATCACTTGGGAGACAAAGAACCTCTTCTAATGCAGGAGAAGAAAACCTAGGTACCATGGTGATGAGGATCTGATAAGACACTTAAGCAAACAAAGTTACATCTACAGGGAAAAAAAGTAGCAGGTGCAGACCATTGCATAATGCAGTCCCTCCCTATCAGAAATGAGTTATTCCAGACAAGCAAGGAGAAAATATCTGAAATAGAGCATCAGGCCATTGATGCTTAAGCCATACAAAGCTAGGTGAATGGAGTCAATGAGAGATAACTGGCAGGAGGGAGGAAAATTGTGTTACTAGCTGATTGAGCTCAAGATGCATCCAATCCAGTGGCTGGGGCCTAAGATGTTTATCAAAGGAGGGGCTTGGAAAGCATTTTAGATGGAGTGATTTGTCTGTCTGCCAGATTATGATAATTCTTCCAGCCACTTCTCTGTTCTTTCTAATCGTTAACGAAATATATAACTTTTGTCTCTGAATGGAATTAATAAAAACCATTCTATAGTAAGCCCATCTAAACAATGAGAATAGAGTGTTTCTAAAAACATTATGCAGACGATCTAAGCTACTCTGTCCCTACATATTACAAAGCAGCTGTACTCATTCAAGAGACACTAGCATCCACATGAACATCCAAAGTAATCAGAATAAGGATAAACCTTAGCCCTTTGAGTATTAATTACTAAAAGTTGCCTCTCTCTCGATTCCCGTATTTGTTATTCAAATGCCATGTTTGGACTATGCTTTGAAATAGCTGGATGATCAAAGTCTACATATGCTATGTCATGGTCATTTAATTTTTAGCCCCTTTTCTTAAGAAAATTGAGCTTACGAGAAAGCATGGCTGCTCGGTTTATCCCCTGGCCTCTCTTCACAACACAGCCTTTAAGATAATAAGCACTTACAACCATTTTTGAAAGACAAGCAGAAGATACTTGTAGTTCTACACATTTCATGAAAATTAGTGAACAAGTAGTGGACCAACCCAAATCTGTGACTGGAGCGTCAGGAACTGTGAGTTTCAATAGATTTCATTGTGTATTGAAAAAACTTTTGCCTAAAATCAAAGTTAGGATGCAAGTAGAGCCAAGAGTGAGTATGCAGATAGAGACAGCTGTAAATCACACGAACTGTAAATCATGTGATTATTCTGCCTTCTTAGATTATATAAAGTACATTTTAATTTGATCTTTGACTGAATAGGACAGTCACTGTATATGTACAGAAATTGAAGGTTTTTGTGCTAAAAAAATGCTAATTTAATGCCTGAATTTAAACAGAAAATAACACTAACTTTTCAAATTAAATTATCCTGAAAGTGGAGAAAAGTCATCTAATCAATCAAACACAATGGAAAGATTATTAATTATATTTTTAAAAAAATGTTTTGTACTTCAATTACCTTTTGCATTTTTGCAGTGTCCAGAGATTTCACAATTCTGCTGAAGTGCTGAAAACCGAGCTCTTCCAGTTGAAAAGTAGCCAGGTAACAAATAACTGTCAAAGGATACATACATTTAAAATGAGACAGGAGATTCTAAAAAACTTATACCTATATATTATATACACAGCATATACTATATACACAGCATACTCTGGGATTCAGACTGTTACTTTAATTTCAAATAGTCTTAAATATTGTTAATCTAACTGAGTGATATAATGCTTGACAATGAGTAATTGTACTATGAAGTTATAACAAAATGTTAACCCTGTGTTCATTATTAGCATTTTGACTCTGTGCTATGGTTCATATAAATCAGTTTTGTTTCTCATGAGTCAGATCCAAGCTAGTGCAAGTCTACACAATTTTATGGAATTCTAACAGCCGAGGATCCAGCCACCTACACAAAAAATGTAAACCAACGGTACGTCTGTGAAGCCAGTCACAGATGTCCTTTTGATGCCTGCAAATACTGTTTGCAACACTGGGAGATCTACCCTAGCAGCGTTTGGAGTTCTGTAAGGTGGAAGGTAAGGTCTTGATGTGATTCCACAGCCATTTCATTATGCCAACATCACCACTAAAATAAGCAGCTCTGTCAAGCCCTAATTGCTTGTTCTTGTTCCCTCCTTTCACTTCCTGGTGTTTCTTCTCTTGGACAAGTAGTCACCCACACAGCCAAGTTAAAACAGATTGTGGATGTCACCCTGAAGCACTTTCTTGATCAGTTCAGTGGATGGCTGCTAAACACTCATTCTAATTCAAGAGATACGACGTGAGGAGGAGAATGAGTGGCCAGTGATGGGGAAAAAAATGGCTTGTTTCTCTGGGTTGTAGTACCAGGTGATACAACAAATACCTGCATATTCCATCTGCGAAATCCTGTGTTAGTCTGGCAACAAGGCAAGGAGAACAGGAGTCAGATGGCTCCCGAGAGACAGGACTGAAAAGTTTCTGATGGTATTATTGTTGGAAACAGCACTTTTTTACGGTAACCAAATTTTTCAGTGTAAGCAACCTTAGTCTTAGAAAATTTAATGTTAACAAGAGACATAAAAGAAAGGTTTGATGGTGAATTTTTCAACATATGCTGGTTTTAATGTTTCCTGGATAGCTGTTTTTCCTCTGTTCCAAAATCACAGTTTATGATGCATAACAAAAAATTTCAACATAAAATGTCACATTTCTAGTATTTTTAAAATTTTTTTTGGCATCTCACCATTCTGCAGAAGGTGTTGTAATCTTTGTTTTTATTCTGAATTAGAATAAAACCAAGTTTTTAAATTGTGAAGTTCTCTGGGAAATCCAAGCCTGATTCTTGCACCCCTGTCTGGCAAGGATGCAGTTCAATACAAGAAGAGGCAGAGCCAGCGCTGTGAGATTTTTGCAGACCTGTAAAGTTCACGGGCTCCTGTATTAGCTTTCATTTGAGCATATGCACATTGATCCACCAGGCCTCGCTCGCACTGCAGTATTTTAGCTGCCACCACACAGTAATCATAAAACCAGTAAATTCTGACCAATGTGCTGCAGCCATCTCAGTGTATCGTTAGGCTTTAGTCTCGTGCTTTAGCATAGCAACATATTTAAGCGGTCTTAGCAGAATATATGTTTATCTCCTACAAGCTTTATTAAATTCAAATCTGCTCACACATAGCAACAGCCTTTATAAGCAGCTTTGATCATTTAAGTGTCAATGCAGCTTGGCAAAGGGAATCACAAGCAGCTTAAAACAATGTAAGCCAATGACCTTAGACTGTCAACTTGTTGATAAAGGAAAATTTTCTGGGGCCTACCCTCTTACCCTATGATTAATGGAGGCTTTTGAGTGGACCAGTCCTGACAATCCAATTATAGCAACACTCAGCTTAAAGGTATAATTTATGTGCCCCAGACAGTGAAAAACAGGGCTTTGGAGAAATGGAGACAATGAAGCATTACCATTTAGAATAAACTCAATATACTGTTAATTTCATCCTTGACAGTTTAGGTTCCCTTTCATTTGTTATTTGATTTAGATTTCTATACCCTTCCAGATAGTGACAGAAGCACCTGGAATTGTCATAAAAATTCGGTAGCTTCTAACACATAAAATTTAGATGTGTTTATATTAGATATGATTTTTTTTTGTATAGTTTTCAACAACTTTGAATTAAATTGACTGGACTTTTCAAAGTACCCACAAAGCTTCAGAACATATCTGACTTAAAGAACCAATCCCAATGCAATTTGTGATTCCAACTTATCTAGGTACTTAATAAATCGACCTCACTATATGTATATTAAGTGCAGAGTATAAAAATATTTTAAAATTATTTTTTGTTGTACTTCTCAATTCCTGAAATAATTTTGGAGTAGTAACTACTCTGATTAACTAGCTCATACTATCAGATATAGTTGTATTGTAACTGACTCTAACCAAGTAACTAATAAAAGGAAAATAATTGACCTCACTCACTGAGAGAACCAAAAGTCTATTTTTATTGTTGTAATGAGCAGTATTGAAGATACCCATATATGGATAGAGATAATAGTATCCTCATACTGTGAGACATGCTGTGTTCCTCAGCAGACAGAGCTTTGTTATACAACTTTGTATCTGAATGGCAGAGGCACTGGCTTCATAGAAGAGAATAAAGGGAAATGACCGAAGAACATTTTGTAAAATGACTGTTAAACTTCCAAGATACTTCTTCCAGCCACTGATGATATTTTCCATCTGCATATTACTTAATCTGCAATTACATTCTGCAGAATTTTCTTAGGTAAAATTCCAGTTAACATCTGTGAGAGTCTAGACTAAATAACAATTTATAGAACTTAGGCTACACTAGTAAAATTATATTTTTAGAGTTTTGTGGTAAACACATTTGGTATCTTAAAGAAAACTTACCCATATAGAGATTACGCTCAGAAATCAGGCAGCATCTCCCATCCCGAAAATAAAAGGCATTAACTACTACATCCAATAAGGATTTATATTCTATGCATCCAGCTAGTGTATCCAACACAAATTTTTCTTCTGTCATGTTAAGACTCTATGGAGATACAAAATTAATAATGATTAATGTCTTCTGCAAAGAAAACATTAGTTGTGTACAAAAAGAAGTATGATCATTCTGAAGTAGTTGGAAAACACGAATAATGAAGAGCAGTGCCTTTGGTAGGGCTGGCCCGCTTCTAATACTATCGAATATGGGCCGTCCTAACAAATTAACGGCCCTTGCTAAGTAAAATGTAACCTCCCCCAGTGTTAAACTTACAGTTTATCTGCTGACATACGCATTTAGTTAAAAGGCCTTGATGTGTGTATGTCAACAGTGAATGCAAAGAAAATCTGAAGTCTTCAAGCTATGAGCAATGATTAACTTAGTGAATAGTATGAGAAAGTTTCAGTAAGAGCTGGCTTTTCCAGTAGAAAACTTTTTATTTGGTGGTGAAATCTGTGCCACTTTGAGGAGACTAAATTGAATGGAGAAGCTGAACAGGGATTATGGAAAAGACGCTTAACTGCTGTTGTAACCTAATATTGGAGAATATCACTAACTTAAACTAAATGTGTGAGTGCTGGGATTCTTGTTAATGCAGACTGTTACCCAGCTTTGCTCTTGGTCACTCATAATATTCATGCAAAACCACAGGGGAACAGAAAAAGGAGGGTCAGATGCTCACTACATGCTGTTTGTATCATATCTCATAATCCCTTTAAGAAGTAGGAATGCTCATGAACTTTACATAGAGTTTCAATCATAGTAAATAATCTATGGAATATCTTTTACTACATGAGATAAACTTCTAGTATGAACCACCTTTAAACATTGCAATAAAATCTGAGGCCCAGAACAGGATTATTGCACAAATAGAAAAAGGACAGTCACACTATACAAAATGACAAACCATAATGGTTCTTTGACTTAAGAAGGTTGGCCAAGAAGCCAAGAAAAAAGCTTGATGCATCTTCTGCAAACATGCAGTCTACATTTGATACATGATCCCTTCCACAGCTGAGATGTGAGAACAACTGAACTGCAATAATAAATCAGACAAGAGATTCACCTTGCCTAGTAAGCTGTCTTGATCACTTTATTTCCCTAATGTGATTAATTTCTAGTTTAAAGGTATTATTAGAGGCTGCTGGAAAGAACTATGTGAGTTTTCTCACATATGACAGTATATAGGGTTTTAAGACTGAGCAAATACAAGGCAAAACTTTAAAATTACAGTTTAGATGTAATTTTTAGGTGTAAAAATTATGCAGAAGCATTACAAGTGTGTTTTCACGGGTTGCCATTCAAAGTAATTATCATTCCTGTATTTGATATGAGAGATCTGAAAATTCACCACAAAAGGCAAAAGCAAACCTAAACACCTGAATGGCAAAGTGAAAGAGGATGACAAAGTTCCAGTAAAAGTACGATTGTGACATTCTGGATCTAAGCCAATTGGTGCCCTTGGACAAGGGCTGTTGTTCGTGAACAGATCAATCTGCAGACAACAGTTAGTTCTGATAGTAACTCCATAGTAAAATTGGACAAGCCCGTTGGAAGCAAGCCCAACAAACTCTCACAACTATTTCTGTTAGAGAGCCACAATATAAGTTGTTCCCAAGATTTTTATTTGATTAGAATCTTTATGGTCACCTTCTGAGTACTTTGATACATCATACGCTGCTACAACAAACCAGTGCTTTTCCAATGTACTTTAGAGAGATGACCAGTAGATAAACAGTAACAAGATGACACCAGTGCCCAAATCTCCTATACAGTAGAGACTATAGCACACTGTTCTGAGTTAACAAGTCTGTCAGAACATAGTTGTTAGGACAAACAGAAATAAGTGCTTTACTCTCTGAGCAAGAAGGTACATAACCACTACCTGGCCTTCAGCTAGCAACAAGGTGCACCCTGGGGTCAGCTGTGTACCAAGACATCAGTACTGATCAGCAATTTTGTGGACCACAAGCCCAAAATGTCACTTGTCATGAAATAGCATCAATTGAATTTGCTTTCAACTAGAAATGTGTTCTGTTTGTACTAAGCAGCTGTGTCATCTAAGGAAGTGATCTCATCAGAACTCATCATAAACTAAACGAGACTGGGCAGGATGAGTACTTCTGTAAGAAATCTCAAAGGTGAGCCAGTTGTTGATTAAGCCCTGCTGATAATCCAATGAATCAAAAACCAGCCAACGCTTTAAAACTGTTAGAATACTCGCTGCACAGAAAGTGGATTGTGTCCTCAACAAATTTCATCAAGGCTATTTACAAGTTATCTGTATATCTGAAATCATAATTGCTTTTGGAAAGTAATATGTTGGGTACATGTAATATCTAACACTAATTCCTAAGTGCATTCTATCTGTGTGTCTTCTGTGATGCCCAAAGTGGGTCAAATGATCCCCAATCAGTACAATATGATGATAGGTTGTACATTTATAGTACCTTTAGTACACTTTACTAATATTAATTGCATTTAATGAGATGTCTTTTGGCTAATGTAAATGCAGGAACTACAGTATGGTGCAGATAAGAGGTTTGCCCCACACTAAGTCCTTGGTGGCAACAAGATAATAAATGCTAATTTGTGAGCCTTTGTTCTGTCCATCAGACTATCTTCTCAGCTATTCAACTATACTTTACCTCCTGTATTTCTCTGAAACAACTAGCAGTTAACTATGTTTGCAAGCATGTTGCGTGTGCCCTTCAACACAAGGAAGGGCAAATAATTTACAGGTGAAAGTAACACATGCAGCTATCATCTTCTGTTGCATCAAATATTGAAATTTATCAGAAGACAGATCTCAATATACTTGTTCCATGCTCAAGAAACATCGTCTCTATCTCTAATGTTACAGCTTATTATTTGTTGTTTTGTTGTGTAAAGCATAGTAAGTTAATGGTAGATGAATACTGGATGGTCCTTTATTTTTAATGTTTGGAAGCCTATATATCACAGAATCACAGAATGTCAGGGG